TTAACCACAAAGGTGGTACACGTGCTCAACCTGTGTGTACTAGTAGGACCCAACTCCTACACTGCATTGCTGGAAGAGAGATGTCATACTTGTGTACTTGAACCTTATAGATAGGCTGAGACATAAGTATGTATTTTGGCAGGGTTTAAGGATCCCCAGAAACCAGCAGATGCAGGGTTGTTTCTGTCAAGTTGTTAAAATGGTCTCTGAAGTATCATGCCTCCCACACAGACACACAGCTGGGGGCATTCAAAACCAGCCTCTGTGTCAGGTAAGCCTTGTGCAATCATATTAAATTAATGGAAAAAGTAATAAATGTGAGGAAGATCAGAGACCTTCAAAAGCTTTTGTTACATTCCTGTGCTTTTTGTGCAGTAATGCCGTTTTCTGTCAGAAAATGTAGGGACATTTCCTGCTGGATTTGAATGCTCACTTGTGTGTCTCTGTGAAAGATGGTCTCTTTCAAATAGGATTATGTTATATTTTGGATTTACATCTGCCAAACTTTGAAATCTATAAGCTCACATTTGAAGAGGCACACCTTTCAAACATCCGTTTAATTCAGTTTTTAAAAGGATGACGAAGAAATGAAAAGGTCAATCTACTTCTGAAAAAGAGGTGGTCTCTCATTTGTTCATATATAGGTGATATAAACATAATTTTTAACTGTATAGGAAAAACACACATATAAGTAAAAAAAAAAATTCAAATATAAAGATTCAGAGACTAAGCTCATGTCAAATATCTGTAAGATATCTAATGTAGATTTTTAATTATTCCCACTGCAGGATTCTTCTGCTTTCTTCTCAAATTGCAGGAACTGATGAGCAGCAGAGATAGAGCGTTGGATTACCTGGACACTGAGCCTGATTCAGTGTGATAGACCTTAACTTCTTCATCATGGGAAGCTTGTGCCATTCTGCTAGCTCCAGCAGCAAGGAGATTAATTCTTCTCTTCCCATAAAGATGAAAAAAGTCATATGTGCTGCCTTCATTTACATATACTCGTTTCAAATTGCAAGAGCTCTTGCTATGTGAGCTCTGTCACACCTTATTTTGAAGAATTTGCTTTGGCAGAGGAAGCAACTACAATATTATGTATTATCAAAGCATGGGTGAGGGGGAGAGACTTTAAATTGCTAATGTTAAAACTCTGTGAGAGATCTCTGATGAAGATTTCAACTTACCAGAGGGGAAAAAAGCCCCTGTTTGACTGACATTCATGTAGAGCCAAGAGGGACTTAAGAAAACCTAGTGGTATGAAGGCAAGCAGCTAAAGAGTATTTTTCTTTCACAATGAAACATAAAATCATTTGATACCTTTTATTAGTTTGTTGATAACTCCAATATTTGTTTTGATAGGATTTGGACTTACTGTATCATCAGAGTAACATTATCTATTAGTCCTACTTCAGTATTGTTCCACAAGATAATTTAAGCAGGTAGCTTTGTATCTAACATCTTCATTTGATGTATATCAAGGTTAATATCTAATCCAGTATTTTTCATTAAAGTTGCATTAGTTCTACATGAAGAGAAGATGGCTAGATAGACAGCATCAAAAGTGTTAACATTTGTATTGCACTGCCTTTAATTTTACTTTTTTTAGATATGTAATTACCACTTCACTATTGCATTATACAAGATTTTATTTTCATGAAGTTTTAGTTGACTGTATTGTCAAAGAAGAAAACAGATAACATGGTTCTGCCTAGAGCCCCTTTGCAGCTCTACCGAGGATACATTTGTTTGATTTGTCCATCTATAAAATCTCAGAGATGTTAGTAAGAACATCTGAAAAATTTAAAACCTGCTATGCTTTAAGCTAACTTTCAATATTTTTTTTCAAAAACAGCATGGGATTTCAATTGAATAACAGAATGATGTATTTTGGACTGTACTTATTATGTTGGCTAATACCACTGGAACTGCACAAAGAACGGCTCAAAAGAGCAGCAAAGTGAATAGATCTATTACTTTGAGTGCACAATTAATCTTGTTGACATTATTTGTATGAACATGGATAAAAATGCCTGGAAAGCATACCATTGAATTCCACTGCTCATTAATATTGATCAAATGTTGTTGTTCTCTTTGTGTTGGAGGCCACTTAAAGATTACCTGCAAAAGTATTACAATGCTATTGATTTAAGAAAACAAATCCCAGAACTCCATTGTTTTTTGAAAATTAGTTGACAAGTTTCGAGTTTTATTTTTCTGGTAAAGAAAGATGGTTTTGAACTTGCTGCTGTAGATCTGAGTAACCAGGAATATTAATCAGATTGGCAGAAAATTAATTATCCATCATTCAATACGAGGTAATTTAAAAGTCTGTACGTCCCTATGGAAGTCTGTTGGGACCCTGAATCATCTGGCAGCAGTGCCTCGATCTTACATGCCGTTTTTGATGCTTAAATGGAAAGATGGCAGGATTAGGGCCCAGAACCTTCAAAACACTGAAACCTGCATAACTTGCATCAGGGATCCTGTGTTAAGGACTCAGTGAAAAAAAAAAATAATCATATGCTTGAAGTTACATGTGGTTTAAATATCCTGAGGATGTGTGAATTCAGCGTATGGTCCTCTGAAGAATTAGGAGAAACAAGGTGTGAAGATACAGGCTTTTTAAAATTTCAATCATTCGTTCTTTTAGAATGCAGATGAGTCTAACCCATGTGCTTTTTAGGAAATGAACGTTAACTAGTGAAAATTAGATGATTGTTGTTTACTAGTTTCAGTGCATTTAATTAGGATGTTTCATTGCTCTCAAAATCATTTTTGAACTACCAGTTTCTATTAAGCAAAAAAAAAAAAACTAAACAACAAAGCAAAATTACTTAACATTTAGACTGAAAATGCTGCTGTTATATGTCTGTGACCAAGTAACAACTATAATCAGGCAAAAAAAGTGTTCATGTTGCTTATGTGGGGGTTTTTTCAGTAGGAAGGCATTATAGAAGACTAAGATTAGTTAGAAATGTCGGCATGCACCAGTATATTTATTACTGTGCATCTCAAATGACCTTTTAAGCCTTTGTGCTTTGAACTGATCTGAGAAAATACAAAATCTAAAGAAAATCAATGAAAGTATGCTGAACATGTTCTTAGCAAACCATATAGAGAAAGCAGCAAGCAAAATGAGAAAGTAATTATTAAAAGATTTATTGTTCTTGGAGGATTAGAGATCTGCTTGCATAGAAATAATTAGCATATGAGGCTACCTGAAGCTACTCCCGAAATTGCAGCACTATGATAGAGACTTAAAAAAGACACAGCTCGTATTCTTTGGGAGACCAAAAGTGCAAACTATCAAACATGTTTCTTCCCAAAATACTACAGAAGAGAAATAACATGAACAGAAGCTGTGATACTTGAAAGCCATAAGTCTTCCTAGACTTGTTAAAGGAGTGATATATGTTGTCTGGAATTAAGAATGTAGTGTATCATTACATTTAAAATGCTATGCAGAATGTGCATGAGGAAAGGCAAAAAAGGCAACAGCCAGTCTACTCCTTTTTATCTGCATGATTTTTGCCTTTTTTTAGTACTAATTGCATTTAGAATAAGCCGCTATATATTCACATCTTTTATTTATTGGGTTCAGTGAGATATAGCCCATGTTTAATGATGCACACAAGTCTAACTTCTGCAGGACTGTGTCCTGCAATAGGCTGAGGACGCAAGCTGTAGTAGAAATCTGTACATGGATAGTTTCTCAAATTGCTATAACCACCCAGGCAATTATAACTGAGGAATGTGTTCTGTCATCCTTGACTTTCTTTTAATTTTTGTCTTTTGCAAATTAAAATTTTCGTAGTGCATCCTTCAGTCATGACATTCTGAATGAATGTTGTAGCTGTAAACATCTGTCAAACCTTGGGTTTGTAAGTGAAAACATAAACTAATAGGCAGACCCTCAGAAACATTAAACTTATAGCTCTTTTAAGTATGCTTTAAAATATGCTGTGGAAGGAAGTTCTTTGCGGGTTTGGTTTTGGTTTTTTTTTTTTTTTTTTAAATTCAGTTTTAAGTGGGTATATAATTATGACACTGCATTTCCATAAGTGGAGATTAACACCTTTGTATGTACATGGCAAAGGTTGCAAATAACATACTTTATCTTGAATTCACAAATCTTTTCACACGTAAACTTGCACATGAGGCTTTCTAATCAGTGAGTACCAATTCTTTAAAGTGAGATTGGAAAAAAAATTCATCAAAATGCTGAAGTGTTTTCTTCTGGTAGGAGGTGTATTACAGGTAGTATTAGTAAGAGAACAAGATGTAAAAGGCTTCTAACATATACCTTAAATGAACAAACTTTAGACTTCCATTCAAAAGATGCTATTATTTAAAGTTATATATAGTCGTTGCAAACCTAACAAATTAGATCTCACTGCTAAAATTTTAGGCATCCTGGCATGTGGTCAGTTGAAAAAGAAAAAAAAAATTAGAAGTCCTTTTTGAAATCAGCTTGAAGTGGATCTGCTGAAAAGGCACTCAATGGAAAAGGAATAGTTGGTTTAGTCGGTGTTAACAGCTGGCCCAGATAGTCACATGTTCAGAAAGTCACCCGAAGCCATAGCAAAGATCTCCTCAAACTACTACCTTGACATGTAGTGGTTATTCAGGGATAGTGTACATGTCACTATGTACATGGTAGGCATGCTTGATTAATACATATTTCCTCAGTGGCATAAAAGTTAGAATACTTGTTACCTTTAATAGGAGAGCGAGATTTAGCTTCTCTGTCTTCTGTCTTCTCTTACATTAAAAAATAATGTTGTGATTAATGAGTAGTGACATGCTTCATATATTTTCTTGTTGATAAAAATTTGTGCTGGCAAGCTCTCTGAACTAAGTGAAGGGTATACTTTAGTGGATTAGTGCAATATGAAGGTCTACATAAGAGATTTTATTTCTTTGCATATAAATGACTGAAATTATTATGGTTGTTATTATGTATGCATATATATCTCTTTTTTTTTCCCCTCTCTCAGGACCCTGCCTTCCTAATCCATGTCATAATGGTGGGATATGTGAAATTAGTGAAGCATACCGAGGCGACACATTCATAGGATATGTTTGTAAATGTCCAGAGGGATTTAATGGGATTCACTGCCAGCACAGTAAGTTACACATGGTAACTTTTATTTTATTTATAGATAGGAGTCTTTTAATTGCTTGCAATGTCAAGGATTAATATCAGATCTGTTTTTCTGAAATATATCGGTCTTTGACCTTTGTATAATGAACAAACTTAAATTACTGAATACTATTACCTTCAGAAGATGACCTTACTTCCAATTTACTGGACACAACAGTGCATAATTTGCTATACATATTCTAGAGCATGACAAGGAAAGGTAACCACATTTAGCATGGATTTAATGGAAAAACGTATTTGAAAAGTAGGGATCTCTTCTTATCTTGGAATTGTTTGTGAGCTTGTCTTAATGCTAGATAAAAGTGGAAAGAATAACTGAAAAGACATTTGTGAATCAATATGTCCTCTAGATTTTTCTTTACCAGTGAATTTATAATTTATGAAGAGATACTTTGCATCACAGTACTTAAGTTCAAGGGTGGAAGTTCTGGACTTAAATCAGCTGTACATTTAATCTTCTTAAAAATGCAGTATGTGGACCTCTTTCTAATCATTATAATTTATGTGAAGAGTTTTTCCTGGTTTCAGGTCAGATTGGGAACAGCATGTCAGTATCCTAGTCTTCAAGTGTGTAGTTACAGAAAGACAAGTAGCAATATGGAAAAAAAATCTTGAGATTTCAATAATATCTTATGGGGGGATTGTATGGTAAGATCTACACTTCAGCAACCAAAAATTTTAAAAAGTAAATAGATGCTGCATTTTTTCTGTTCATACTGAAAATTACAGGTCCATGTTTCTTGAATTCAATGCCATCAGAAGTTCTGTGTGATCATAACCGACTAGTAAGAGCTATGCATGTTCATCTGCAAGTGACTGATCAGATCATGTTCTAACCTATAAACATAGCCTGTATTATCTATTTGTCACTCAGATAGAAGCTGGCTGGTTTCTATATGTAAAACTCGTTTAGAGCAAGTGCTTGCCTATAGAGAAACTTGGGTGCCAAATTTGTGGTTTAGTTTATGTAGTAAAGCATAGCACAGTTAAAATCTCATGTTATTGAGCATTTGTAAGTGAACTGCTATTCAGTTAGGTTAAAAACTCAAATAAACAGTCAAGAATCCAGTTCCATTTGCACATGAAAGATAAATCCACTCATTTAAATCAGATTGAATAAGCACTGAATCCAGTCTACCTTAATTAAGTTCTCCATTTAGATATTTGTCTATAATTTGAAGTGTCAGGAACCGATGCAGTCCAGCTCAAATAGCTACTTATGTTCATTTGTCTCTTACATACTCAATGGAAAATGTCTCCAAACACCTTAATATGGATATTCAATTTCATTAATTTTGGCCATGCTCTCTCAGTTACATAGGTAACGTAGGCCTTTCTACTAACTTAATCTAGTTAAATTATGTGTCTACCTCTTCTACTGGAGGCATCGAAACGCTGGCTATTATCCATGCCTTTGGGATCAGTTCCATCTAGGCCTGCTTCTAGGGATGGCCATCCAGTGAAGCTGACTGCCAGCAACAGTCGTATGACTTTCTGCTGTTTTAATGGTCACATCGTTAGAACACTCAGTCACGATGGGGCACTGAGTTCATCGTGTAATCGTGATGGGAAAAGACGGTCATTGCCAGCCTTTAAACCGTATAGACAGGAGTTCAAGAGTCTCAAGACCAGGCGAGCAGGCAAGATTATGTCTAGCTGTAATACAAGAGTTATATCAGCTTAAAAATTGTACCTGGGCTATACTGTGAGTTCAGTACCTTGTGGTTCCCAACCCTGTTCCTTGTACTTGCATGAATTTTACATGAGTCTACAATCTGATAAGTAAAGCAAAAGTCATTGGAGAGTAGGAAGACAGTAAACTGTGCCTTCATCCCCGTGACTGCTCTAAGAGAGGTTACAGACAGACTGCTTCCGTGTGCCGTCTATGCCCAGTCATATGGAGGAGTTCAAGCCAAAACATACTCATGTGTCCTCACCTCCTCAGGCACTCTCCATCATCGGCAAAAGTCATTGGAGAGTAGGAAGACAGTAAACTGTGCCTTCATCCCCGTGACTGCTCTAAGAGAGGTTACAGACAGACTGCTTCCGTGTGCCGTCTATGCCCAGTCATATGGAGGAGTTCAAGCCAAAACATACTCATGTGTCCTCACCTCCTCAGGCACTCTCCATCATCGCAGCGGCGAGGAAGCCAAAGCGACTCATCGCGGGCGGGTTCGGGTGTGACAGTGGCCAAACACCCTCACGGATAAGAGCAGCCCCCGGCGAGCGCAAACGACCAGGGGCGCGGGCGAACAGAGCCGGCAACACAGAGACGGCAAACAGAGCCGGCGCAGCAGCCAGGGAGCGGCGCAGCCGTTTGCGCAGGCAGGGCGA